AAATTTGGGCTTGAACCTAGCTGACTGAAATTTTCTTTAGATTGAAATTTTACGTCCGTATTAAATCTTATTCACATATGTATTTCCAATCCTTTTAAAATATTTGACATTTACTAGGCCCTTTAAAATATTTGTCCACACATGAGTCAGGTATGTGCTCCCCACAACATTGTCTTGTTAGAGTCCTGTAAACTAAAATAATCAGTAGAAAGAACAGAAAGTTAATCTAGAGAAGTAGAGGGCACTGTCTCCTAGGTGTAAATATTAACATGCTTGGCAAAATATGTATTATTAAATTTCATTAAATTTATTTAAACTACAAACTGCTGTCCAAAGCTAGATGTTATATTCATATTTTAAAAATAATTTTATACTTAATAGCATAAAATAATACAGTTTTAACACTTAGGAATAAGCAAAATGAAACTATGAAATGTATTATCATTTTCAACTCTATTTCTAATACTAACATGCCTGAAATTTTACCACTGATTCTCTTTTGGATAAATTCTTCTTGGCTAGAGACAAACATGCCAACACAAAACACAGCTAGAATGAAAAGAGAAGTGGTTCTCAGAAACATGTAATTCATTCCTGTTATTCTAATTTTTCTAATGACATTAGAAATTTGCTTTGAAATCTTTAGTTTGGTATTATTTTAATTATTATTCATGAAATAATCTTACACATGTTGGAGTTCAATGCTTTCTTAAGCTGGTCTATTATCTCTGGTCACCATTACAATTATTGGAATATATTATCATTTTTTAATTCTAATGCCTTGATAATATTTGCAGCATTATAAAAATGAGTTTACAAATGTCTATGAATCTAATCAAATATGTTGTCTTCAAATTTCAGTTTTTTGAATATTTTTTACTCTAAGAAGCAACAAACTACTCTGATGATAGTTGCATATAGAATAAATGATTTTAGGAATTTACCCAAATGTACTTTCATATGCCTTAAAATGATCTACAAAATGTACTAAGTATATATTTTTTGTTAAGCACATAGTATGTGTCAAAAAAATCATGGAGAATAAGAACATAATTGATGGAGAACAATTATTGAAGATTGACATTTCCGAAAACAAAGAGAAGAAATTTTTAAATAGATAAAAATATTTCATATAATAATCTCAGCCTGATTTTAATTAACTGATTAATGAAAATTAATCACCAATTTTGATGGTGGCCTGAAGAGTATTATATGATTTTATTATTGTTCAATAAAGATTATTATAAAGTGATAATGTTTCTGGTAGTGATCAAAATATACGAAAGAGTTTCTTCACTACTTTAAATTGATTTACATATCACAGGTTGTGAGGAAAGTTCAAACTCTATTTCAAGCATTGTACTAAAAGCATCTGACTCTGAA